TTATCCTTTATTGGTAATCAATATAACATAAAAAATAAATAAATAAATAATAAATAAATAATAAATAGCATTATTATATAATATAAAAAAACACGCTTCTCACGCACAAACAGATTATTATTTAAAGCCATTTTTTTTTCAAATATGATCGATCAATTTAATTATAATAAACAGTTATAATAATTGTGATGAATCCTTGAAAACATATGATCATGACGTTTAAGTTTACGTTGTTGTTTGATGATGATTAAACTGAATGTGACGTAATAGTGTTAAAATTTTAATTTAAATAAATATACAATATAATATAAATATATTGTGCATATAAAACAAAATAATTGATGTGTATGCTATATATATACAGTATATATTAAAATAAAAATAAATTAATATATAAATAAATAATAAATAATACTAATTAGGAACAAATGATTAATGGTTTCTTATTTTAATATATATATATAAATGATGGTCGATGAGGTAATAAATTTATTTAATCGAATTTCACAAAGGTTGTTGAGTGAAAAGAAAGAAAATGACAACTTTTATTTATGAAATTTTTTAATATGATGGGAAAAAAGAAACTTTTAAATAATTTTTTTATGATTTCATAAATTTTCCAAAAAAAAACTTGCTAAACATGATGATATAATGCGCTAAAACAATGATACGAAACATTATTAGGAAATGGTTTAATGCGATAAATTAGTTAGTTGATTGATTTTGGTAAGCATGGTGATGTAGTTGTAGTGAAAATGACGTTTAAGTACTAGAAAATGTCAAAAATAAAACAAAACAAAACATTCTTTGTGTAACCTTTAAAAATATAACGAAAAGTTTAAAAAGTTTTGGAAAAAAAAATGGCGTATTTTATTTCTTATTTAATTGTTAAATTATAATTTATGTAATTTTTTGGAAACGAGACTTTTAACAGGAAAATCATTTAAGTGGTTGTATCTCTCGCTTATTTCAAATAATAAATAAATAAAATTTATTATTTCCTTCGTCTTAAAAATTTACATTATAATGATCATATTAGTCGTCATTATATAATCATCATAATCATCA